AGGGGAAACTCCTGGTGGACATGGTCATTTAAATAAAGGTTAGGAGGGCAAGTAGATATTAGGTAAAATACAGGACACACAGGATTCAAAGAAAGGGATTTTTATGTTGCTTCCTTTAAGACTTTGCTTAAATCAAGGAAGGCACAGTTGTCACAGTTTTTAAATTTGTTACTAAAACTGACTCTTGGTTTCCTAAAGAGGGAGCAGCAGTAAAATGTAGATATGGGAGAGACTTGGTAAACAGCTGCAAGCTAGCTGTGTAGCCGAGTAGCTGAATACGATCCCCATGGATACCTTCCCTTTGTGGTCCTTGGTAGAAGATTGTCTCAACCCATCTCATAAAAGTGTAAAATGGATGGCTTCTGACATGATTCCTGGCTTTAGAAGTACCATTAAAGATTGTAGGCCAGTCATGGTGGCACACACCTGTCCATGTACTGAGAAAGGAGGATTGTGAGTTCAAAACCAGCCTCAGTGAAAAAAAAAAAAAGAAAAAAAAAAACTCAGTGAGACCCTGTCTCTAAATCAATACAAATCAATACAAATAAAATATAAAACAGGGCTTGGGTTGTGGCTCAGTGGTCAAGTGCCCCTGGGTTCAATCCCTGGTATTCTCTTCCCAAAAAAGTGTAAACAATTAACAACAAGTCCTTTGCTGACAGCACCTCTCCCTCCCTCACCAGAGCCCTTGCCTCCTGAGACTAAACAAAAATTAAAGGTGGACAGGGCTAACCAAGCCAAAATTAACAGTATAAGTACCTAGCTCAGCAATGTTGTCACCAGTACAATAGGGTTTCCAGAAAAGACATAAACACCATATTTTCAGAAAATCCTGCAAGATTTATAAAGCTTATAAAAACCAGTTTAGGCAAAAAGAAATATCCCTTTTAAATCTGGCACTTGGCCATGCTGCTTTCTTAACAAATTTCTCCCTAAATGCTATAGTACAAAAAGTGAAAAATGGAATGAGCTGACTTTAATCTTAGCTAAAAGAGCAGCTTGATTTGATAAAGATGTTCTACAAGCTCTTTTACCAAAGTATTATGGCTATGTAACTTTTTCTGGAACTCCTGTTTTTTAAAATTCTATATTTTTGAGCTCATAATTTTATAGTGAATTCACATTTGATCTCACATACCTAAATTAATGTATTTTCTTGATCATATTTATTTTATCTAACTATAAAGGATTTTACACCCTCTTTGTTCAGAGACCAATTCTTCCAGGGTTAATTCTCAAATACATTTAATCAAATTATTTTTACTAAATCCTAAAAATAACATAGACATGGTGATATTGGGGGTAGATCTTATAGGCATCAAGGACAAATGGCCAGCTATCTGAACATTTGTTTTCAGTGTCCATCATGGCTATTAGATTTTACACCTAGCATTTCTAATTCTGCAGGCCTGCCCTATATTTAACTCATGATGTAAAAGTCTGATGGGTTCTATTTTAATTTCTAACAAACTAAATCTAATAGAGGCTTTAATAAACATCTGTAACACTGCCTCTTAACTATGGATCTCCACTTAGAGGAAGTTACAAAATCTTTGTTTCCTGTCTGTTTTTTGTGTGTGCACACACCTGTGTATTGTGCTGTTGTGTCTAAATATATGCTTATGTCAATATTCATGTACATGGTATGAAAATGAGCATATAGATAAATGATGACTCATAAGTTAATATTTAACGAAGAAATGTATTCAAATATTTTTTACTTTAAGTGACTTTAAAAAAGAAAAGTTCAAGGCTAGGGTTGTGGCTCAGCGGTAGAGTGCTTATCTCACATGTGTGAGGCACTGGGTTCAATTCTAAGCACTGCATATAAATAAATGAATACAATAAAGGCCATCAACAACTGAAAAAAAATTAGTTAAAAAAATAGGTACAGTTTGGATTGGGTAAACAGATAAAAATAAAGATGTCTTTAAAATTACCAAATTTTGCAGGTTTTTCTAGCTGGTCAGACAATAAAGTATTGGTTTCTATAAACTGTCTAAGATGCTATATTCATTGATTCTAAAGTTTTTTTTTCAACAAAAAAGAAATGGTTAATACTGTAAATTACATTTGTTTCACATCTTGGTTTTTATAGTTAAAAATAAGTAAATTAGATTTAACATAAATTAGATTAATTTTCATAAATATGTTTGTTAAAAGAGACATCTGATTAATTTATAAAATTAAAGTGTTAATACATCGACTACTAAATATAAAATCAAGCACTCTTAACCAAAATATATTTAAATGTTATATATGTTTTTTAAATTGGTAAATTAAAAAGGTCTGAGATTGTTTTGTTTCTGTGTCTTCATTGAAAATGAAGGTACTGGGAGTTAAGATTCTGTCAGGTGTGATTTATATACTAAGAGTGTAAGAGGATTTAGTCACATTTCAATTAAAGTACTATAAAAACAAAAGTGGTTCTCTTATTAAAGTGGAGTAATTTGTCCAGATTCAAAAATTTCATAAGGACTGTTTCAAAATGTATATTTAAAAGGAGATCAACAGCTAAAAAAAAAAAGGAGATAAAAGGGTTTAGGTATAGAAATATATTTTAATATAGAAAGTAAAAAAATATTTTTGGATAAAAAGGCTTTTGTCTAGTTAAAAAAAGTTTGTAAAATATCTAGGTAACAAAAAAATTGTGGAGGATAAATTTCAAAAGGGTAGTAATTAAATTGGTTATGTATAATTAACATAATTGCTAAAGTTGTTTAAGGCATTTTCCTCTTTTATAAAGAGAGTTCCTAATCTAGGAGGCTGGCCTTGTGTGGGTTTCTGGCATGGAACATGCTTACAAAAGCAGATTAAAAAAAAAAAAAACTGTTCTTTTCACAGACATCTGTTCCATTTCAAAAGAAAACAGTCAGACTTCTAGGACAGTTATTTACAATCCAAAAGGTAGGGACTCATGGTTAATTAAACTTCGAAAAAAGACTGAGAGAGGAAAGGGGAACTTATCCTTTCCCCAGACATAAATCAAATATTAATGTCCCAATATAAACCACAGTTTAACCCTCTAAGTGTTAAAATAACAAGGATTTCTTAAAACATTAATTTTCTCTTACTTTATCAAGATAATTTCTTGTGTCTATGAGAGGACAGCACCCACCTGACCCCAGCTTTGTCTCTAAATGTCTTTTCTTAATCCCCCCTTGCCCCTCACCGGTTTCTGAATTAATGGTCACACAGGTGGAGACAGCCAATATTATCTACCTTAAGTGTTTGTGAGACTAGGAGAGACTGGGTTTGAAATGTTTAGCGTAGTACTTATTACACAGTAAACATCAGTAGGCAGTAGGTAGTATTTTAAATTCATAAACTACCTTTCATTATGTCCCAAACCTGCATAAAACATTCAATAGAGAAATATCCCCACTTCCTAAGTACACCCGTGTGAGGGGTTTTCAGTGGCCTGCTCAACCTGCCACTTTGTAGCGCTGTCTCTGGAAGGACACTTGCTAAGTGGCACCACAAAAAAGAAACTGCGTGACCCATGCCAGTGCTGGGGACTCTCGCCAGGATTAGGAAGCAGCAGTGCCAGGACTGACTCCCCCAGGGACAGTCAGGGTGCATACCAACTCAAGCACTGGGGAGAAACTGAGCTGGAGACAGCTGGCGCCCAGAACCTACCCCATGGCAGGAGGCAGCACACCCTGCTGTAGAAGCCCAGCAGGCTCTTCCAGCTTTTCTAAGAAGGGGCCGCTATCTAAAATGAGTGTCCCAAGTTATGCCCAACTAGCTGTTCATGGGACTATTTTGCTAAATTTTTAAATCCTTTCAACTTTAAAATTTTTTTTCAAAAATAATTAATTTTCTAGAATTCTTAACAAGCTAATATTGCAATCAAAAGGTAGGAGTGACACCTTCCCTGATGAAGAAATTAACTGGCCTGTGATCTCAAAGACTTGAGCAAGCAGGGGCCAATCATAAGCATAAGCAAGCAAGCACATCTTGATAAAAAGCCTATCACTGTAGACCAGCTCCGGGGACCCTCATTTGTGCTTAGAGGTCCTTGGATGTGAAGAAAAGACTACATTAGCCTGGGAAGTAGCCCTGAGTGTACAGGAGGGGCTTTTTTTTTTTTTTTTTTAGCTGTAGTTGGACACAATATCTTTATTTTTTTCATGTGGTACTGAGGATCCAACCCAGTGCCCCACGCCTGTGAGGCAGGTGCTCTACTACTGAGCCCCAGCCCCAGCCCCAGCCCAGGAGGGGTCTTCTTAAAAACAGACTTCAAGGCCCAGGCCAAAGATGGGATCCCAAGGAGCCCCAGGCGGAGGCCAGGGACTTAAAGTTCTCATAGGATCGCCAGCCATCCAGACGTATTTACAGAGAGCAGTTAGGAAGCACTGCCACTAGGCCTCAGCCCGGCTGCTACATGTCCCCTCATCTGGCAAGCTTTTAAAGTCTCGGAAGGCCAAGAGTCATGGAGGAGCTTGAAAGTGCTAAGCAGGCTGTGACGATTAGACACATAGTCACATGAAACACCTCTGAGGTCTTCCGGACCTCACGGCACACTGCCTCCTACTTAGGTTTCAGACATTAGGAAGGGGCTGAGCCAATCTAGATGACCAGTCATGAACCCCCCCTCTCCTTTTTATTTTACTACAAGAAATGCAGTAAACTCCTTTGGCTACTTTTGAAGAAGGTGATGAATGGGAGGTTTTACAACAAGCGCCTCATTAACATAATAAATGAACAAACAGGGTCCTATTTCTCTCCTCTTAGTTCCCCTGCACAGTTGGGATGATGCTGCACAGTTGGGATGATGTGTTTTTTTTGTTTTTGTTTTTTCATTTTTGCTGAGTGTCCCAGACTTTTGGGCCCTTGGATAGGCTCTGAAATGGCAATTGCAAGTATTTGTGCCTCTTTTCTGGTATTAGATTTAATGATTTGTAATTATGCTAGCAACTTACCTACAGAAGGCTAAACTCTTCAAGGTTCAAACCCACTTCATTAAAAGTTATCTCTTAGATAAATAATCCATAAAACACAGACAGGCAGTTTTTATAAACGGTCCATTTTGATTCTAACATCATCGCTTGTTCTAAAGGTTAATGACAAGCTTGTCGTTTCCCTCCAGGATTCATTAGGCAGATTGTCAGGAAGGTAGTCACCATCAGTGACATGTTCACGGAATCAATAGTGGTAATGAGGGGCTGCTTTCTTTTGGAAGTGGAAGCAAAATACGCCTTGAGTGGATGGTCTGGCTCTTCCTGCACTAGCCATCTGGGTCGCTGGCCATCATGGAGCCCGCAGAGAATTAGGAAATTGACAGCAAGCCACATGGATTAGGCTGATGGACTTTCGGCATCTTTCTAAAAAGAAAACATGAAGTCAAAGAAGTAAACCCGTCACACTATTCTAGCCAAAACTACAGTCTGACAACTAGAAGAACAGGTTGCTGGGAAAGACTTCTGTTCACGGTGAGGAGAGAGACTCTTTTCTCATCTTCCAGGATAGAAAGGCAATTGATAAAGCCTAAAATTGTAAGTTTAATAAAGAGTAGTACAAACATAAAATGTGAAACGTGGAAATAAGTTCCCAAATAATCTGCTCACAGTAGGGAAGACGGAGTAGTTGAACTGGGGGTTTTATGTTGCCTTGTTTTGTAGCTAAAGATGTAGAAGCTGGAAGTACCATGTGGGTCTCATCCAAGCTGGTGGACTGGCTATGTGCTAGGACCCTGCTTTTCATTCCCTGGCATAGGTGTGACCTGTGGATACACGGAGGAATCCCAACATCATACTCAGGGCAGCCCGTGCCCATGATCCTCCTGCATGTGGTGCTTCATGGCACCTTGCCAAACAGATGCCCAGAGCAAGGAATACATAAACAGTAACCACGGATCGCTTGATTTCAAAGAGAAGATTTATCCTCTGTCTGAAGGCTGGGGACTAAAAGATATTCTGCTTGAACTGCTTGCACTGAGGAGAAAGAGGCACCAGAGGTGATGCTCCCACCATGGGGCTGGAAATGCACCTGACTTTTCCTTCGGTCCTTTCACCCTAACATCTTTGCTCGCTCTGCTGGACGCATTCTGAATGCTGTTGTCCTACCACAGCTGTGGGCTGAACCAAACACCCCACCTGATCCCAAGTCCTGTGTTGAGCCAAGTTCACAGATGAGTGGGTGGGGAGGGTCCTCGGAATGCAGTTAGATTCAGAGGAGGCTAGGAGGGTGGGCCGACTAGACCTTCTCCCCAGTTTCCCCTTCCCCTCCTCTGCACCCCGTCGTCCTCCTCTACTGCCTTGGGAGGACACCGAGAGAAAGACTCCTCCTTGAAACAGAAGAGATGCCTCACCAGAGCCTGAACACCGTCATCCTGATCTCGATTCAGAGGCCCCAGACCTGGCAGAAGATGAAGGCCTGGCATCTGAGCCACCCGGTCCAGGGCTCTGTCACGGCAGTCTGGGCTGAGACTTCCCATTTCTATGAAACTCCACATTTTCTAGGAATTGGTCACAGTGTCTCAGATAACATCTTTGTTGTATCCATCACAAATCCTTGGATCCTACCGTAAACTTTTTTGAAAGAATGAGCAATGTGTGGACCCATCCTGGCCTCCTTCTAGGGAGAGCATCTTACCTTCCTCCATGAATCGAGAGTAGCTCGCTTTCAGAATTTACTCTGCCTGCAGACATATCCCATTTTTCAGTTTGTGGGGAGAAAGTAAAGTGCTAATTTAAAGCCATAGAATTCAACTTCAAAAACAACAGAAATTCCTTTCTATATTATTTTTATACATGGGAACAATGTCATGATCCAGTCATACATTGAAGATTGTTAAGTATTGCATTTCAAACAATTGTTTTATTCAAAAATGGTCAGTGGTTCTATCTTTAAGCACATAGTTCACCTTAACATATATTTTTAGCTTGAGGGGTGTACTTCAGCAGGAATGTGATGTAACTTGAGCCTCAGTTTTAATGGTAACATATTTATTTGAGTGTTATCAGTTAACCCGGAGAGGAAACCGGGATGAAGCTGATCTGGGCTCCTTTTTAAAATCAAAAAAGGATTAAAAGGGGAGGAAAGTACTTTGAAAAGAAACTGGGAAAAGGGATTTCCTGACAGAGGATCTTACCGCAGGTTGACAAGAGTTTCCTGAGACCTGTGGAAGTGCAGGGGGAGACCAAGACAAGCCACAGCCCTGAGAGGTCCTTGTTCCTGTTCAGCGCTCCTGTTCAACATGGTGAGAGTGTCTGCTGACGCCATCTGTGCTGCAGGAGCTGCTCCAGGGGTGGCCCTCCACCACTCCATCCCGAAGCTTCCTCCCAGATCATCTGGAGCATGTTCCCTGGGGTCCCAGAGTCCCCCGAGGGACTTGAGCCCCAGTGGCCCACAAAGGCAACCTGCTCCTGGTTGACATCCTGTGTTGACATCCCACCTCTCTCTGCTCGCTGGCTCACTCCCTTTCCCTACTGGTGCTTGCTAGGACCCCACCTGCAACCCACCAGTCAAATCCTAGCCACGGTCAGTGCTACCAGCTCTAGCGCATGCTACACTCCACTTCCAGAGAGCTTCTGCAACACAAATCCAACCACATGGACGCCTTAATGAGAAGGTGACCTTGTGAAGCACGCCTACCTTCCTGCATCCTCTCACACAGCCATCACAATGCCTCAACAGCACCACGTCTTCTCTGGTACATTATTAGAAAGCTCCCTGAAAAGTCCTTACTGTGTCTGTTGCAATAATGTTGTTGAGTATGAAGATTCTGGGTGCCAATCACTGGGGCTGGAATGTGTCCTCCAAAAAGCATGTGAGCCTGTGTTGGAAGCAGTCCTGGATGTTGTGAAAGGCGGCCCAAGGAGAGGACATTAGCCACAGGGCTCTGTCCTCAGAGTGGATCTAGGCTGTTACCATGGCAGTAGACTCCTCATACAAGGGTGACCTCTCTCTCTCTCTCTCTCTCTCTCTCTCTCTCTCTCTCTCTCTCTCTCTCTC